CAAGGCGGATCTTTGATTCGTAAACGAAACTCAAGAGTCTAGTCTAACAACAGGATTATCGTTCATCGTAAATCCAGCACAACTACTCAAGCAGCGATGCACACGCATCGACACACGCACAACAGCAAACACGCACAACACACACGCACAGAAGCTGAATTTATCGTTACCAGGAAACACACTCAGACTAAACCACAGCACACACAACACTGATCACACAACCACACAACACACAGCACACACACACCCACAGCACACACACACGCACGGGCACGACCGACAATGGGCGCGCGCAGAGCTGTAGGGCATGGGCGTCCGGCGCAAGTACAGTCAGGACACGCCGCGTCGCACGTCGTCTATTCCCGCGCGTGTACGACGGTGCGGAAGCCCGCGGCACAAAACGCAGCACAGATCACGAAGACCATCATACTACACGCCGCCCACACACAGCGATCAAACCAGCATGCACACTAGCAGCACAACCTCCCCCCCTGCACGGGTACTAGGCTAGATTCCATTAAGAGGCCACCTTCCCCCGAGCAATAAGTAATCCGATACTTACCTACAGCAACAACGAACCCGAACAGCACAACAGCAACAACAACAAAACGAACAACTAACAACCGAAGCATGACACACGGACATAACACACCATCTCGGCAGTATCGATGAGCACGGGCATACATACGAACACAACAGCAACAAACAGCACAAACCGCGCGAATGCGAACTAAACAACAACCAAGCAGCCAGCACGAGAAGCGATGACATCGAGCTGCAGGCGAGATACACGCAACACAGCCAATAAATAAAACCTCTAAACGGCGCCTTTCCGCGCAGCTTGCACCGAGACCAGCACAGAGCACCTGCGCGTCAAGCGGCCGATGTAAGCATGCCGGTGTACGTGCCGCGAAGTCTGCGTGTTACGAGTGCGTGTATCTGCGTGTACACGCGGTACTTCGTGTAACCCGCGAAGTGTACTAGTGTCGGTGACGACACCGTGCACTGTATTGTCACTTCTAAACACGCAAAACACACAACTACGCATACGCCACACACGACACGAGCGGCGCGATCGACAATACTGCAGTGTACGAGCGCACACGACACGCAGCGCGCTGCGGACGGCGCGCGCGCACGCCGACGTCGCGTGACGCACAGCTACGTAAGCGTGCTGCGTAGACTATAAACACGCCCATACCACTCACGCACGACGCGCGGACACCACTACACGTGCACGTGTGTGAGACCCCGCAGTGTACGTGCGTGTAACCGCGTGTACGTAGGAAGTGACCCCGAGTCTGGCACGTGCGTGCAACGCTTCATCACCCGCGTGTACGTAGCCATAACGCCCGCACGTGCACCGCGTGACCGCAGTAACCCGGTCGACACGACGAGCACCACATTCAACTCCTCTCTCCTCTTAACAGGTACGACATTCCCCACCGTGCCACACGCATGCGCCTAGCGTCTAACTCCGCGAGCCGCTCGATGTATCTCCGCGAGACCTTGCGGTAACCAGCACGCGACTGTACGGCGTGCTATACGCGCACTCCGCCGTGTGTATTCGCGTCGCGTGTTACCATTCACCGACTGTGTAAACCTACTCATACCACTGCGCGTGAGTACGCTATGTATCTGCGTGTACGTGCGTGTAAACCCGCGTTACGTGGCGTGTACCCCGTGTACGTGCGTGTACGTGCGTGTATCTCCCGTGTACGCCGCGTGTACTGCGGGCGTGGCGTGTACACCTCGTAGCACAAGTGCGTGCACGTGCGTGTACCTAGCCGTATAAGTCGTGTACCCGCGTGTAACGGTGACTGTATCGTCTGATGATTGCGTGTACCCGCAGATGGCACGTGCGTAGTACCGCGCGATGTAGTCGTGCGTGTACCAGCGTAGCACGTGGCGTGTACCCGAGCTGCTACTGGCGTGTACCCGCGTGATACCGTGCGTGTACGCCGTGTCGTGCGTGTACACGCACGTACAACGCGGGACAGCGGAGACTACACGGCACGGTGTACGTCACGTACACCGCGTGGTAACGACGCACGTGCACGCGGGTACACGCACTACCGCAATGCTACACTTATGCCCCCCATAGGGAAGTGCGATTTGTTAAAAACAAATCATGATTCGCAACGAAAATCAGGCTCAAGCGACACTGCTGGCGCGCGCGCGCCAAGTGTAAGCATATTTCGTAACGAAATGCCACGATCGATCGCAGCAGTAGCCTGATTTCGTAAACGAACATCACGCGCGCAGTAGTGCATTGCGTAACGAAATCCAACTATTGTAAGACTGAATTTCGTTACGAAATCAAAGATTTCTGGAAGCGAAATCAATCATGGCGACCACATATGCGCGACCGGCCGCGCCAAGTGTACACATAGCGATCTACCGGTCACACAGAAATCACCTCAGACGCAGTAGCAGGTACGGAAATCACTCACGAGTATGATTCGTAACGAAATCACTTTGTAACATGATTCGTAACGCAAATCACTTTGTAGACTGATTTCGTTAACGAAATCAAAGATTGAGAAAGAAATCAGTCATGCGACACTTGGCGCGTCACTGAGCGCGCCAAGTTAGCATGATTCGTCACGAAATCACAGTTAACACTGCGGCAGTAAGCTTGATTTGCGTAAACGAAAATCACTCCAGTAGTGTATTCGTAAACGAAATCACTTGGATAGAACTTGGATTCTCGTTACGAATCAAAGATTGGCAACGAAATCAATCATGCGACACTTAGAGATGGCGCCGCAGCGCCAAGTTAGGCATTATTTGAACGAAATCACCTCGCCAGATAGGCTGATCGTACGAAATCCTCGCACGTACTTAAGATTTCGTAGCGAACCTCACCCGCAAGTAATGATTCTCGTAACGAAGATCACTTTAAGTAAACTTAAATTTACGTACAAATCAATCGATTTCGTAACGAAATCAGTCATACGCGACACTTGGCGCCCCATAGTCGCCCGCCCACTACCAGTTTTGACACGTCCAACGAACGTAAAGCGATTTTCTAGGCGAGTATCATATATCACTCGAAGACAATTCTTGTGCCGAATTTTACGCCAAAGCGACATGAACACAGGTGACTAGTCAGCAAGCAAAGAAACAAAATACATATAATCACAACTATAGAGTATATATAGAAACGGATTCTCAAGAGTCTAAGTATGTACATAAAGGAGGACATAAAGAGAATTATATACATTTACATGAGCAGCCTACATAGAGGGGGGTACATAACGGGGGCTGGTCTCTACAATTCCACCACTATCACTCAACAAAAACCCGGAGTATCCCAGTTCCCAGTAAAAAAAAATCCAATTCCCAGTCCCCAGTGCAAATTATGTAGACATGTTTCAGGAGAATCAGGTACGTTTACAGGTTTCAAACACTACATAAATACTCAAGATTTACGCATGTATTTATTATCTGGGCATAATGTCAATAATATAAGTAAAAGAAATTTAAAAAAATAATATTAAAAAAAATATTAGTCGCAGAAATTGAAATCCCGACGAAAATGACACAATTTTGCCAGCTCAGACAATTTTAGAGGGTGCTTTCCCACGGCATCCTGGATGGACTCTCGTATTCCGAATCACAGAAAAATTTACTGACCTTTCCCAGTTCCCAGTTAAATTAAAGAATGCCAATCCCCGCGTCCGCGAAATAGCCGCCGTCGGCCGTCTCGCCACTCCGCCGCTGCAGCCGCACCTCACACTTACACATCGATGACTGTAAATCTGAGTTCACATGAAGCCCTACCATGACAATCTACATAATTAGGTATATGCTTATTGGGCATGTAGAGTAGAGTAAAATTAGTGGGTCGCATCGTCGAGATATTCACTTTTACATATATATCTGTAAGCATCGTATATCGCCTGCTACACTCCTCACCAGTATATATATAGGGGCAACTAATATATATATATATATATATAATATAATAGATAATAATAAATAAGAAATAAATGAATAAATAAATATAATAACAAATGATCAAGAGAGAGTAATAAACACCTTAGGTATTTATTACAGGTATTTTTACAGGTATTATTACAGGTATTTAATATTTATTAGCTCTTGAAATGATATCTATCTCGGTAATGATTTAACGGTGGTCACGTGTCATACACATTGAGTTGTCAGCAATCTTTGGTTGTCAGGTCGAGAGTTGCTATCGCGACAAAGCAGCGGTTTGTAGTCGTGCAAACAAAACGTGGTAAGTTCTGTCACTTATCTCCATGCCGTGTAACCTCATTAACTCATAAAGATTAGTCTTGAAAGTCCAAAGGACTATATCTAAGACGGAAAGAAACAATTAAAGTTGATCAAATAGACAGATCAACCACATGTACTTGGAATGTTTGGTAAAATGATGAATGTGAATGTGAATAAGTTGTTAGAATTTAATGATATTGATAGGAACAAAATAGTCCTACATGGTGGGATAATAATGAGTATTTCTATGCAATAACTTCACACCTTTGCACAAACTGAAAAAAAGTTTATGCCGTGATGTGCCACTGGATGTGATTTTAGGGGGTGTAATGTACGCTGTCCACAAGAAACGATGGCCGAAATCTATTTTCAGTTTGTGAATAGGTGTAAAATTATTGAGCTAAATATATACTAATCATGTCCTGTTAAACCCATAATGTTTCTAATTAAAGTAGGCCTAGTGCTCTATGCAATCGTTTTGCATAGAAAAAATATATTTGTGTGGAGTCACCACAAAACCTACCTTGTTCAAACCATGCATTCTGTAAAACTTATGTTTAACTTTATATCATCAAAAGTGTTCTACTCTGACTCCTGAGTTACGTTAGTAACTCGACTTTTCTGTGTATAAATCAGTGTGTCATTGGGGCATATGATACCGGTATCATATACAGGGCACCATACTCGTGCTTGTGTTAGCAAAAAAAGCAAGTAGCAAGCTTACCTACCTAGGCAGAAACATAAGACAACTACAGCGCAGTTCCACTCCCTCCCACTCCAAGAGCAGTGTCCCATCTCCAGGGGGGGGGGCACTCGCTTCGGAACTGGGTAGGGTTGTACCTCGGGGACCCTGAAAACCTGACCCTGGCGCAAACCGCTTTGCACCCTAAAATGCACCCTGTCCTAATATACTGCACTAAAAATGTACCCTGTTGCAATATTGCACACTTCAGTTATGTCCTAGCTGTCCTCCTGTCAATATAGATAGATAGATAGATAATAGGTTTATTGCAAAACTAGTGTTAACAACGTTACACAATACAAACATACCGTTAACAGCGTTACAATTAAAATAAAATTTGCAAACAAGATATCATCAGGCAGTATAAAACTGAAATTGACCAATATAGGCAGATATAGGGCCGGACACACTAGGCGATTAAATCGGGCGACTAAATCGCCGGTGAAATCGCTTAGTGTGTCCAGTCAGTCGCCGCCGATTTAGTCGCCCGATTTAATCGCATAGATCAAAACGTTTTGATATTATCGGGCGATAGAGTCGCCTGATAAAATCGCCTATTGTGTCCACTCGACTTGCGCGATAGAATCGGGCGATATTATCAGGCGATAAAGTCGCCCGATTAAATCGCCTAGTGTGTCCGGCCCTTATTGACCCAATATTGGCCTGGTGATATTGGTCCAATATTGTTTTGCCAATATTGGACCAATATCAGCTTGCTTGTTGGGTATCTAGATAACCCTGTGCCAATAATGATGTTCGGAAAATATACCTTGTCTAGCGGCACGTGCCCAGTACCTTTAATTTTTAAATAACAATGGGAGTGGGCCCCCCACCCCCCCGGGTCCTATTTCCTCTGTTCAGGTGGCCATCAGCCTGAAACACCAGTCTGCAGCTCCATATTTTCTCTTGGTGCCTAGCGTGGTCTTATTTCGTGCACACAACAATTTTTCCTGAAAAGTTTTATCGCCGGCATCGTCCCAAGCTATATTACAGTGCCAGTAGAATGGTCACAATTACCATTGTGATTATGTTATTATAATATGTTTGATTTTTGGTTAGTATCTCAAAGCTTGTCAGAATCCTTGTCAGTTCGGGAGGTATGATAGAGTTAGAATTAATAGCTTATATTCAGGATGGGGCGTCGTGTTTTGAAAGAATTGGTGAGAGGTGTGTGTTGGGGGGGGGATTTAAATGTAGATAAGTTTCCCTGCTTAACAAAGTCAAAATAGCAGATCAGGGCAAATAATGACAATTATTAGCAGTGTTATAACCAGATGAGACGGGATACTAGAGAAGCGTTGCCGAAAGGAGGTGTTGACCCGAAGTGCTGAGCGCAGATCTTGCGCGCAGTTCCGCGGCAAGGCGCACGTGACCGCGGGAACGTCCTACGACAGTATGCAGCGCTGGCAGCTATGGATCCGTGCGCCGAATGCTTAGGCCGGCGTACGCATCCATAGCTGCCAGCGAACAGTCCACAATTTTAGTGGGGGACACAGAGGGCAGACATTTGGGACGTGAGCAGTGTTCACTTGTTATAAAAACATAATGTCTCTGTTCGTAACCGAGCTGTGTCACGCGAAATCACAGAAAGACTGACGAAATTTTCGCGTTCGCGAACCAGCTGTTACAGATTGTCAGATAGCTTATCTTATTAGAATATTGTAATGTTTGTCATAAATTGACTACGTCACGAATTTTCTATGGTGTATATTTGTAAAAAAAAATTGCCATTTTTTTACATTAAAAGTATGTACTAACGGGACTAAACGTATCGTCAAATTGTTACCCGATAAGATTGTTTCTCAACTAGCTAAAAATCCAAAAAAACCTGGACGATTTGATAAACATGATCCTGACATTAATTGCTTGCTATGGGCTATGTATGAGTCACGAGTGTATGTTTACATTGAACAATATAGTAAAATACGAAGTATAATGCAGCAATTTAACCATAAATAGTAAACAGAATTACTTGCATTTTGTGAAAAAGTGGAAATATTTTCTTTACTTTTACTATTTACTATGCATTGATATGATACTGAGTTACTGTCATTTTCATGTAATTTTTACAAATAAATATACCTGCTCTAGACATGATATGTTTTGTTTTAATACATTTCCTTGTACCTTGAAAGGTGGTAGCCCAATAAGAATGAGCTGGACAAAATAGCTGACTGTAACTTTTGAAATGCAGAGGATACCTCGCCTGGAGAGTGATAGCAACCTCTTGAAACAACTTAAATATAACTATGAAACGCCGGAAGGTCAGTGTCAGTGCCATATTATATGGAATGTGTTTAGCATGAATATATCTGCCTAGATTTAGGGTTAATCGCTATATATAAGGGTTTTCACTATATATAAGTCTATTTGTTTGTGTACTGTAATTTTTTAATGTATTAGGTGAAACCTAGAAATAGTGGACTTTTTCATTTGAACCTATAAGTGGACTTGAACTGAAATATAGATAGGTATAAGTAATGCGATTCTAATCATGAAAGAAAGCGAATGCGCATAAGTTATATATTGTAATGTAGATCTTTTTAGGTCCTCGATATCAGGTATTGTTGGTGAAGAGGCGCACCAGTAAAATCTATACTCCAACCATATCTGATGATTCGTGGCAGCTAAAGTACAAAAGAAGGTTTGTTGTAGATTATGAATAAACTGAGAAAAATCAGTATTGCAGCAGTAGAGACCACCTCCAGGCATATATTCTCATCAGGTGGTCATGTTTTATAAGACCATGTAATGGCGTTCTTATATGTCGACGTTCTTTATTTCTTTTACTACGCCAATACGTAGGATAAACTGCAACGCATTCAAAATACAACTTTTAGTACTAGGGTCTACGTTATACAATCAAGGTACATATCATCATAAGTAAGTTACAAGCATGCGCGCCTGTGAGTACATGCATGAATACTCTTTTACAACAGTATAAATTGCCAACACGACAATATGCCCAGAGTCCCTAGTGTCCAAAAGTCTTCACTAATAATTATACTTGCTGATTCTACTAAAAACTATGAGCAAATAACTGTCAATCATATCTACGACGGAATATATCCATACATTAATCGCACTTGTCAAAGCATTGTTCATATTACGTAATCACTACCTGATTACAGGGTTTAGCTCAAAAGTTCACAAAGTCATCGTAATTCTACTCTGACCTCATTATAAGCTCCTAATTACACGTACTAAATGTGCATCGAAACCAAAGATCCTCAATCAGTTTTTCTATTTATCATATCTAAGAGTAAACAAACAATTAATCATCGATAGGAAATTGTGAGACCGACCCTACTGGAAGAATATTCATAACTTTGGCAAAATATGATTCTTCTCGGGAGATATTGCGCATGCGCCAGCACTGTTTCAGACGTGCAGCACTGCCTAAATAAAAGTACGTAATATAGCTTGTTGCGGGAGAGATCGGATAGTGGCAGGGAAGACAGCCGAGGGGCGGTGGAATAAGAAGGAGGCTGAGCGTGCGACAAGGGAGACAAGGGGAAGGACGGGTGGGGATGAAGTACTAGTTGTTGTTACAGCTATAGTCACGGTCTGCTTCCTATTTCTGAATTGAGGTCTACTAATGGAATTTTGTCATATCAATCTATGCTATAGGATGACCCCTCTTTATTTTATATTCATAATTTTGGCAAAATATTATAATCTTCTCGGGAGATAGTGCGCATGCGCGAGCACCGTTTCAGGCGAGCAGTACGACCTAAATAATAGTACGTAATATATACGATATGTATATATATATAATGTATATATATAGGCCCTATACACGAATGTACATATCTACCACAGATATCAATAGCTACTAGAGAGCTAGCGAGCGAGCGCGTACTAGCCTTACATATTACAAGTCTACGATAAATCCATGTGCATGTTTGTTATGTATGTAGGATCGGATATGGTGTGACAATATTCTGTATGTCGTGATTAGCAAATCTTTTCAATATCCCCTATACTTGTATAGTGCACCTAGCCGCCGTAGGCCCCTATACGGTCGCGGTTCCTGCATGTAGGCCTATTCAGTTTAGGCTATCAATCGGGAGTCATTTTTATACTTTCTATTTTTTTCATTTAGTGGAGACAAGCACAAAATAATAATATTATAGAAGGGACTAATAATTATGCAGAAGCACATATGTTTTGAAAAACCTGGGGGGCATTTCATATTGTGTCCCCCACCCTTCGAAAAGTGGAGGGCACGTGTCTCCCGTGTCCCCATGGCATTTGCGCCCATGCAGATCGCACCGCGCATATAGGATGAACCGTGGCGCGATGCTGCGAGCAAAGGTGAATAATCATAGATAGGATTTTACCATGCACCCTGCCGTCGGCCCGCCCGCGACCAGTTTCAACCGTTCAGAACGGCCGAAGAAAATTATCTTGGCAGTCAACGGTGACCGACGCACGAGCGCCATCTTCATATGCGGAACCCAGATCGCGATGCTGCGAGCATAATCGGATTTTACCATGCGCACGTGCCGTCGCCTATGGGGCGCCAAGTGTCGCATGACTGATCAAGTCTACAAAGTGATTTCGTTACGAAATCAACTACTGCGAATGATTTCGTTACGAAACCAAGTCTACAAAGTGATTTCGTTACGAAATCAACTACTGCGAATGATTTCGTTACGAAGTCAGCTACTGCGAGTGATTTCGTTACGAAATCAGCTACTGCGAGTGATTTCGTTACGAAATCATGCTACTGCGAGTGATTTCGTTACGAAATAATGCTACACATGGCGCGCCGGCGCACCAAGTGTCGCATGACTTGATTTCGTAACGAAATCAAGTCTACAAAGTGATTTCGTTAAGAAATCAACTACTGCGAGTGATTTCGTTACGAAATCAGCTACTAACATGTCTATTGATAAGAATGTATTACAGAAACCTATGTTGAGATACCCTCTGACCATATTAAATGCATTTTCAGCACAAAATATAACTCCCCTCGTGAGATATTGCGCATGCGCTAAAACAGTATCCTAGCCAGATTGAGTACTGACTGGTTTATGCAGTGAAGACCTTACATGCAAGGTCAGCTTCCTTTCTCATAAGTTAGATCTACTGATGGAATATTATCATAGAAATCTATGCTGGGATAACCCCTTCCCATTTTATATTCATAACTTTGGCAAAATATTATTTTTCTCGGGAAATATTGCGCATGCGCAAGCACTGTTTCAAACGTGCAGCACTGTCTAAATAAAAGTACGTATATATAGCTTGTTGCGGGAAAGAAGGATGCGAAAGTGAGGGAAGGTGGTAGGAAAGACAGCCGAGGGGCGGTGGATGAAGAAGGAGGCTGAGCGTGCGAGAAGGGAGACAAAGGAAAAGACGGGCGGGGATGAAATAGTAGTTGTGCACCCTACTGGCTAGGGCGCTCTCCTAATTATAAACACAGGTCTACTGATAAGAATTTAATACAGAAACCTATGATGAAATATCCCCTGACCATATTAAATGCATTTTGAGCACAAAACATAACTCCCCTAGTGAGATATTGCGCATGCGCTAAAACAGTATCGTAGCCAGATTGTGCTGACTGGTTTATGCAGCGAAGACCTTACATGCAAGGTCTGCTTCCTATTTCACAAGTGAAATCTACTGATGGAATATTATCATAGAAATCTATGCTGGGATAACCCCTCTCCATTTTTTATTCATAACTTTGGCAAAATATTATTCTTCTCGGGAGACATTGCGCATGCGCGAGCACTGTTTCAGACGTGCAGCACTGCCTAAATAAAAGAATACGTAATCAAGCTTGCTGCGTAAGAGAGAGGCGGGAGATTGAGCGAAAGTGACAGGAAAGACAGCCGTTTGGCGGTGGAAGAAGAAGGAAGCTGAGCATGCGACAAGGGAGGCAAGAGAAAGGACGGGCGGGGATGAAGTAGTAGTTTTGTACCCTACTGGCTAGGGCGCTCTCCGAATTATAAACACAGGTCACCGCTACCGGGGATGTCATTTCTCATACACTGTGGCTATGAAATAGATATATTGGTGCATCTTACTATAATATTTTCTTACCGAATTGTTTGACCAAAAGTATCTTAAAGGAGAAATATCGTGACAACGAAAGGTCTACACATCTTATCGAAATTCAATATGTCCGCTTCCCGCCCTCACTTATCAGCCGCAAGAAACAAAAGAGCAATAAAACAATAGTTTTCTCCTGTCCACATCTAATGCAATGTTTGGCTATTACAGACCACATGAGTGTAATTTTATCGAAATTTCTTAATCCGCTTGCCTGCCTGCCTGCCTGTGTGTCTGTGTCTGTTTTGTGTCTGTTTGTTGTCTGCCCACCTTCCTGCCTGCCTGTCTGTCTGTCTGTCTGTCTACCCAAGGTTCTTCCTGGGTCAGACATGCCTATAAAGCTGAAGCCAATATGCGATATCCCTTAAATCCTCCAGCATGCCGTGTTTACTGTTTACTTTTGACAATCCAATCATCTGTTTTCACAGCTTAGTGTAATACGTCTCTAAACTGATCGACTTATGATATGTTTAATTGACTACAATTGGCAATCGGGGATGATTTGCCTGATTGCCTGACTTGCCTTCTGAAATTCGATTTGCAAACTTGTGTTCTCCCTGGGTTTCGCCCTTTGGTTACATGGTTTTCTTTAGTTTCACAAATCTTTGTTTCCATGACACCCAGACAATAACTATATAATAAAGAACTTGGCAAAGCTGCTACCTATTATAACCTACCAGATGACAGTACATGACAACATAATTCTTCCATTATTGATAAATAAAATTAAAACGTTTAACGTTGTCAATTAATTTTCAGCACACCCTAGTATATGCTCCGTGATAATTCGCTGTACTAATTCGTGGCCATATATTCTTCTTCAGATTCCATAACTTGTCATGCGGATTTTTTAGCAATATCAGTCAGCCATTTGAGTCTGTGGGACTTGTCCATCTTGATGCAAAAGATTTACTGGCTGACTGCATCACTTACACACAGCTCAGAGAGAAGGTATAAAATTTCAGTGACTGATTTTTAGCTCATCTGTCCTGAGATCCTTTCATCTATTGGCAAGAGCGTCCTTCTGCTTGTCAACAATAATTCAGAAATCTTTCACTATGTTGTTCATAATTCGCCATTCTCTACCTCAGATTTTGTACTGTTGGTATAATAGGGCACCAACTATATATGTTCTCTTTTGCTAACTTGTGTCGGAGTTGATATAATACTGTACAATTCTCTCTCTTTCTCTCGCTCTCCTCTCTCTCTCTCTCTTTCTCTCTCTCTCTCTCTCTCTCTCTCTCTCTCTCTCTCTCTCTCTCTCTCTCACTCTCGATATTTCTCTTTTGACCTCCCTAGCTCCCACATTTGTTCTCCCGGGATTACACTCCACTTTTATCTTTCTCTCTCACCCCCCTCTCTCTCTCTCTCTCTATCTCACTCGTTCTCTGTGGCACTCTATCTTTCACTCTTTCTCGATTGGACACTTCTCTCATTCTCTGCTTTTCTCTGTCTATCTGTATTTTCGTGTGGCTCTGGCTGTCTCCCCTACCTTTTTCTCTTGCTCGCACTCTTTTTGCTTGCTTCCTCCATCTCTATCTCTCTCTATTTTTCTCTCGCTCCCTTCTCAGATGAGCCTTGTCGTCCTGCGGCACTAGGTTAATAAAGTATGTCAAAATATATAAATATGTGGTTAATAAGTGCATGTGAAAGAACCAGGGCACTGGCAAGACCCCCTCTAAATATTTTTGGATCTGGCAACTGTATTAATTGCTGGCTTTAAAATTCTTTATCATATAAAACATGTACAGCCTATAGTTTCCCAATGGGTTTAGGGTGCATTTCCTCGGCGGGTGAGCTGAAGGTAAACATGTCTGCAAATAAATCATGGTAATGTCCAACGAGATTGCCAATTAGAATCTTGGGTAACCGTTGCTTGTTTATAATGTCTTTCTTTTACAGTTTTCGAAATTGGCAGACACAAGCCCAAATTGCCATGGAAGAGGATACCTGCCAGATAACAGGGTAAGATAGATTGGCTGTATCTTATGCACGCCTAAGGCTGTTGCCAGAAACATCATGAATTCAAGGTCAATCATAGTTTTAAAATGTTGTAACGCTTTGGCATGAGGTGGCAATTACTTTAAAAAACACATTGAAATGAGCTGGATGCAAAGAATGAGGGGTACGTGTTTCCTGGTATGTGTGTATACTGGCTGCTATTCCAAATTATTAACCTGTCCATGATTATAGCTAGCTTGCATTAATTCTCTTAGTTCCTTCTCTCCTCGTGGAGAATAGGGCTGGACATCAAATTTCTTCATGACGTTCTATCTAAAGTTGGAAGCTCTTTCGGCCTCGTTCCATGTTTTAAACCCTAGCCAAATCCTATAGCTTGCATTAGCAGGGCATTATCCACTGTACCCAGCAGGATGTATGAACCACCAATAAGCCATATCGGAAAGTCCTCACCGCCATATTGAGATCAGATAAGAGTGGGTATAAGTTGCCTATATTTTTAAAACATGGTTACGATAGTACTAGTCTAGGTTTTTAATCTATAATTCTCGATCGTCACTAACGTTGTACTTCAATTCACAGGTGCGTTTCTGTTTACAGAAACATTTACGAATATGATTGTGGTCATTTGGGATATTTTAAATGCACGAGTGTTTACATGAATCATGTACTTTCCTAAGCGTGCCTCGGGCATTTTATACCCCCTTTTTCTATGACCTAAGTAACACAGCTGGACTTTCCGATATCACTTATGGTGGAAGATGCTGATGTAAGATCAGCAGGATCATTATTGTAGTAATTATCACACATGTGTAACATCTGTCTGATTATGCTTAGGATGTAAGCTATAGTATATAACACTGCTCACTACTGGCATCATCTATACAGGATAATGGTTTTATTTTTCACTGATCCTTAATTGGTATGATTTAATTGGATTGTGGTAAATGTTCTTGGACAGGACTTACAGTCCCAGCAAAAGCAAAGCACCCAGGATGTTGATTCTAAGATTCCACTAAGTCAGTATGAGTCTGCAGGAATGGAAGGAATACGTAACCTTTTGCACGAATCGACCAAGCACATTGCTGATGTCACTGCTGGCCAGCCTTTCGAAGAGTGTGTGCGGCAAACACAGGTAACGATGTCTATACATATTATGTATATGCTATAGTAGTGGTGTAATAAAATAAGAGGTGGGTAGACACCAACAAAAATGGTCTTTGAAAGGCAAGTGGCGCCTTTTTTTTCAAAATGGTTACCACAAAATTGTGAAATTTCGTCTTGTATCTTTTATCTTTTTATCTTGTTTAACGAGAACAACTGGCTCCATGCAGCCACACTGCATGCATTACGTCCAGCCACACTGCATGCGTTAATGACTGGCGTTGGGTGAAAGTTCCTCTTCTTCCTCACTACACAATGGCGGATATTTTATATTTGCATTTTATTTTATACTAGAGGCTTCTGAATGTTATGTGGGCTTACCATTGATTTCTATGTTCTGTGCCTAGGATAGCCAAATGTTTGCTTTTAGCTGGACAGCCTTGCACAATAAATGCCCCAGATCTTTATAAAGCCAAATTTTCTTGAACACATTAAAAAACAATTGTGCCTTAATTTTCAGCAAAAGTTTAAGAAATATTTTGTGTACATTATTTTAGCTGGTAACTTGAATAATAAGTGGCCCAAGTCTAGTGCATATTATTAAAATACAAACCGTAAAAAAATTAACATGAAAGCACCACGCTGAAAACACTTGGCTTATGAGCGCTGTCAGGATGATGAGGCCGGGTGACACTGCCCTAATTGTTACATATCACCTCGTGTTGGTATAAACAGTTTTGTACTGAGTAAATACCATGGCACATGACCTATACAGTCAATGTGAATGCCCCTCTGGTCTAGTAGTCTAGCCCACCAGATGTTTGTGTAATTGAACTTACATTGCTTTTGTGTACTCTTTTGTGTAATATTTTGGCATTCTTAAATGTTTTTGAATATTACTGACTGGTTAGAGTACATGAACTAGTGAGTAATGAGTGCACTGTCACTACAGTTCCAAATCTCTTTCTTATTATGACTTATAGTTACTTGTGATTAATTTAATATGTTGTTCAAGAGAATCAAGATAAATGTTAATAGGGAAGCAATCCGAAATGAGAACTGAGGCCAAAACTAGTAGCCACAGATAATATATCATGAAAAGGGTAAGCACAAAGGTCAGTGGATTGACCTGCGTCCTATGCATGTGGTTTTAAGGTGACAGTGAGAGTATACCTCTTTAGTGCATAAATCAAGATAAAGCAGAGGAGTGACTCTGAGATAGATGGCCATGCAGATTGCAACTTTTTTTTTTGCAAGTGTGCACAGTCACTTTGCTGTCCCAGTCTAATAGTCTGCATTCACTTTGATATTACCACTGTACGGTATTTAGGCAAACAGACAGACTGAGAGCTCAATCAAAAGGAAGGAAGATGGTGCTATGGTGCTGATGTCTCTGTCTGAGCTAGAGATACCAAAGTGCACACCTGTTGTCCTTGAGGAACAGGGTGACGAGCAACAAGAGTATAGGGGCAAGGAGAATGATGAATATAAACAAAACCACAAGGAGTCAACCAGCTGGCATGTCGCACCAGAATCAGATGTCACGCTGCCCCCACGGTGGGTTTTCTTGCAATAAAATGACAAAAAATGAATAAAATTGAGGTGATTTCTAATAGGGAATTCTAATAATTGTCATTTGTCAGAGAGTTTAGGTGAAGTTTAGACTTTTTCCTCTTCCAGCCATTATTGTTGAGTGCATTGATGTCTTAAATAATTTGTACTTGACATTGCATTGATTATTGAGTCAAGATTATGTATTTATGTTTGAATGGAATAATTAATTTACGTATGTGTTTATGAGCAATGAAATTACTGTGTGCGACCTGTTTGTTCATATGTGGCAATCCGCGTCATTATTTATAAGTTATGCTCATATTTATCAAACCAAAACGTATTGTTTGCTTGTTGCATTCATGCTCAGTTCCGTTTTGCATCAGTATTATGATCTGTTAACGTTCTACTTATTCACTCTAAGGATGTTTGAAAAATTGTTGATGGTTTGTGATGCATGGAATTAGTGTCTATATATCTCAGCGTTATCTATAATTGGTACCAGGGAGATGAGTAAGAAAAAAAGACAGCTGCTAGGCAAGCTACGCAGCATTTACCAGTTGCTTTGTACCATCTTCAATATGAGTCCCAGACATCTAAAGACCCGCCAGCCAATGTCAGCCAAACTTTTGGAACTGCTCGCTACCAGCTCACCTTACAAAAATAAGGATGCCCTCCAGGGCATGACAGGGTAATTATAACTTAGCCAATGAACGCATTGCTTAGTAGAAGTACGACAGCATTCTCCGTTGAATTTTTGTTAAAATGATCAGTGGTCAAACAGGGTCTTTGCCTGTGCCCCCCCCCCTAGATTTTGGAGCAAAATTAAAAAATAAGCTTAGCTAATAATCGTAAATAAACCTAACGTGATTTTTTTTGGTCACTTATTCGTGAAAGCCTTGTCTCAGACCTCATACCCACCCCTACCACACTATGGACGTAGATCAAGAGCTGCGCCCGCCGCTCATTATTACACAGTTTAGTCATGAAATTTTGCCCCCCAGGAATTTGCTCAGCCTACGGCCCTGTCAAAGTTTTAGGGGCTTTGATGGAGACATAAGTGATGTCACATTCTTTCTTCAACACATCGTACCTAAAAATATTCTATAGGTATCCTGCGTTCATTTTATGTTATTAGACTAAATATTCAAGGGAGAGGGGTGGCACGTTTTCGTCTCCTATGCCTTGTTTGAGATTTAATTAACATTATAATTAATCAAGATTATTACCTTTAAAGTTTGGAGTGAATTTAATGAATCAAGGTATCTATAATAAACCACGAAATATAGTATATTATGTACGACATCATCAGTAATATTAGAGCAGGCCTCCATGTGTGGTGAAAAACATCAGTGTACGTTATTAAGTGTTAGTGTAATGTTTGTGAATGCTGGCACTCCTGCAACAGATCTATATATATTATATCCTCCTTTGCATTTCACTTACTATAGCTGTGTTTATATCCGTCAGTGTTTGACATAATCACTTGTTTTATTTCTGTCTACTGTACTTATATTTAATTGTTTGTTACCTATGGCAGTGTAGTTAATTGTTAGCAGGAAATTCTAATTGACCTACAGTTTTAGCATTCCAGTATGGTTATGTTTTAGTATACGTGTTGTTCTGGTATGTATACGTCAGTTGCATCATCAGATTTATGTTGTTTTTAGCTTTGGTTAAAAGGTTGACCAGTTTTTATGCGTTTTATATTTACTGATACCAATTACACAATCTTATTACATAGTGTGTGTTTGGAGTTGCACTGACAGTGAGCATGTGGCGAGCTTGTGTTGATATTTTCACAAATGTACCGACATTAAAAGAATAAATAAATGGGGGGGGGGAATAAATCAGCAGCAACAAGACTGCTAGCAGCCTACAGTGATCAGCAAGTAGAATTAGTAACGATAGTAGCAATTATTGTGTTGGTACAAGACACTTTTACTACTATGTTAACAATACAAAGATAAATTATGCGCACTTTGTGCTCTCTTTCAGCCTTCGTGCAACTGGTGGGATTTTATCCCATGCAGGAAAATCATGTGATCTCACATCAGCTAGCTCTGATACTGTAGCTTCCCCAGACGTTGGTGCAGTGTCTCAAACCAGCAAGGCTCCTGTAGCCCTAAATGTTGGGCGCAGGTAACAGATTCTACGATCTAATAGATAATAACAGATCTATGGATAGTTGGTGATTTAGGCATTGAACATTTTGTCGAAATTGAAAGTCAGCTAGATTATTATAACGCTTGAAGATTTGTGGGTCTGTGCAGTAGGCAAACTGATGTGTGAGCCTGCTCTGAAGTCGGTGTTAGCAGTTGTATTTGTAGACCAGACACCTGCTTATAAGGGCACTTTTTGTGTTATAATGATAACCTGTCTATTATAGTTACTGTCGGCAGATCACTTTAGTAACCCTTATTATACTGGTTTTACTGTATTCAGTTGTGGTGTGTGGAGGCCTGCTTATGTTAGTGAAGGCATGAGTTGACAAGAATAAATATCAGTGCCGCCTGGTGAATGCTTAATTCTAGTCGGTTAGGAATCTAATTTTGACAGACATGTTGAATATATATTGTTATTATGAACAATAAATGTCACAGTAACTATATGTTCCCTTGGTGCTGACGTACCTGGTCATTTGTAGGATAAAGACGAATGTAAAGCCAACGTCGACAGAGAAGCAGACACCGAGACTTGAAACCTGGGAAGATCTCTTTAATGTAGGGGGCGCCACCGATGGAACACAGTCACAGAGCACAGCAACTGGAAGTTATCAACGGCAGTCTATCAAGTAATCAATTTTATTTATTATGATCTATATATTTGCTGAACTAGAGTCCATTTAAGGGTAGTCTAGTATAATCGGTCTGATAGCGTGCGATCACTATCTATTTGGGTGTTTTTGCAAGTTGGAATGTCCTTATATAGAGGTGAACAGTAATGAACAATCAGAATAATTTCTTGTTATAAATATGATTAATGAAACTAATTTAACTGTATGAAGTAAGATCAGGAGTCTATCAATATCTATTGATAGACTCCTGGTAAGATATATATTATCCAGTATACATCTAAGGAAGTGAAATGTCATGAATTGGGCATGCATTTTGGACATAGGGCATGTTACTTTTACTCATATTTTGGTATTTTAGTATGTTATCCAACTTTTTCTGGCTTCATTTCAAGATAAAACCCATTTGTATGAATTTGAAAGGAAAGAAGACAAACCATTACTACAGTGATTGTACATAAATATTTGACTAAATGTCAGGTTGATGTTAACGATGATAGGAGTGTCGTGACAATTTATTCAGATTTAGATGCAGTCACTTTAATCATATGAATACCACATGATCAAGAGGTCCATGGCTTCATGTGTATTCACGTAGGAAATACTCATGTCTATTTAATATTATTTAGGATTCCCTATCTAATGCATCTTGCCTCTCCTATAGTAAAGCAGTGAGAGTTCATTGGCTCTATACATAGTCATTATGTTTGGCTGGCTTCCTAATCGGTCTCCTGTTGCACTGACATTGAGGTCTAGTCTCAGTTGGGTTTAACTGCTATTCTTATTCGTGTGCTGTTTTCTCCAGTGCCTGTTGCCGGTTTACCTCATGTAGATCATCAGTTATCTTAACCATGCATTCACGATTAATTTCTTGAGGGTTTCCATCAGATGCGTGTGATTTCTTTGGTGTTCATGTTTGTTCGATACAATAATATATGACCATGGATGTTGGTCTGGTCAGGACACCATCACAGATTCCCATAGCTTACTATGGTAACACGTGGCAATTCATCCGGTTTTAGGGCGTGCATTTTCTTAGATCCCTTGTCATACTAAGTTTGAAACACAGTCGTGTTTTTCTCGTGAGCATTGAACTACTAATTGGCATATATCACAAACAAACTCCATATTATATGGATATTTTGGGAATTTTACCTTTAATCAATTATGGCGGTGGTTGGTCGATGCTAAATAGTCGAATGAATTATCTGAATAGTTAACTTTCTTCTGGTTGCAGAAGACAGGAAGAGGTCTCAGACGACAGAAAGGAAATACAACGAACTCCTCCATGGCAGTCTATTATTGATACTAACAGGGAGACGGAGCCAAGTCGTCGGACCAGCAGGTTGCAGTGGTTGCACAGTTATTATATCCTTTGCACCAAAGTGAAGCTGTTAGTTTATGGGAAATGTTATCTTAGAAATATGATTGAAATTGATAATGAAAAAATGGTGCTGTACCTGGTTTGTTACACCAGAGGGGTTTTGTAGTATAACTGAGAATTTTAGATACCTGGGTCACAGTGGCTGTTCTTATTTGTGAAGATGATCTGTGATGATATTCACAGCTGTCTGTTTCATTAGGAGGCAGCAGAGGTCAACAAAAACCATGGTACCGCATATGAAACAAGGCTTCAACAAACTGAAAGATTCTGCAGGTGCCCGCTGTAAGAATGCATTGGAGAGGATTGACAGGTATTTGAGCATAGATGTAGTCACAGAATAAACAAGAGGGAACTTCGGGTGACGGAATCGCAGACAATTAGGCAAGGCTATATACCAGGCGTGATTATATACCAGGCTGTGAGACTACATCGGCATGTAAAGATAAGAAAAACTCCTTGTGTTAGTTACTTGCATAAATGTGAACAAAATTAATCCAATGATTGTGAATAGATCTGGAAGGGTATCTAATGCACCAGTGACGTTTGACTTTGAAGTTGACAGTGGTTGCTTTGACTTTTGAAGTAAACATTGTTTGCTGCCCATATATAATATTATAGGATCCTGATGTATTGGTGGAGAAATAGGCTCAGACCAAGTAATTACTTGCATTATGCAACGTCAATACACTACATTTTAGTATGAAAAGCATTTAGTTTGTTAGAAGATGAACAGGTGATAGGAAAGTGGTAGCATTTAGTATATACTAGTTAGGTCGATTGTAATTCATTATAGCACACTTACCATGTACGTTTTCTTTGATTTCTTAATAAAAAATATCTAACAATTTTGATCGTTTCCTTTACAGGGAGATGTGTACAGTCTATAGACAGAAGTTTCTCTCTCTAAAACTGAGTCCCCTTTACGAACAGAACCTTGCAGCTATGCGGACGTCAGCCAAAAGGATCTACAGAGATGTGGACGTCAACATTAAACCGGCACAATGGTATGAGCCATTGTTATTTTGCTCTGGTGAAGTCATCAGTGTCATCACAGTCTGAAGTATTGTAGTATACAGAGCTGTAACCTTCATACATGAAAGTCATTTGCTAACAGCCGAGAAGTGTAACCATATCCTTAGTAAAGAAGGCTTTATGCAGGCAGAAATTGTCACCACACATCTAGGAAGTGTGTGGGGAAAATGCTGTCAGCCCTGTATATGGTTACATAGCAGGGTTTGGTTCAGATAAGTGGCCTTAGTTACGAGTTTTAACGTGCCCATCGTCCTTCCCAAAATGATATTGCTAGTGCGTGTGACACTGTCGGGGGAAACCGTGATGTGCTTGAACTGCCATTGATCTCGACCATCCTAGTTGATTCTGACTGGTGTAGGAGGCAGCAGCTGTAGTGCTCATGTTCTATGTCTGTGGTGTGAATACTAGCATGGAATTAAGCCCGTGCCGTATGCAAGTGTTTAAATACTTCTGGGTGTGTCTTCTTTCTTGCTGTTGTGAGTTGCTAGTTACTGGGTGCCACTACACTCAGACTCATGATCAGTAATTCAACACTGACTCCCCCATTCCCAGAGGGGTTGTACCACAGGGAGGGAGATTTTCTGTGGGAAACTCCACGCGCATTCCACCTGCTTACAAGCATATACAATACGAGTATTATGAGGTCACCTCAAGAACACACCATATGCCAAGCTGGGGTCTTGTGAACTGTGGGGGGTTCAACTGCAGCTAGTTATTGTTAGTAGGGTTGGGTACACGCAGAAGGGAAAGCATTATAAGCAGTGTGCTTTTAGTCATTTTTCGCTATTTGGTTTGTGCTAGGATTCCTTGTTCATTTAGTCGTTTCCTGTACGTATCATGCCTATAGAATATCTGTCATATCTGATTTCTTATTTTACATATACCAATTTGTAAAATGGAAAGGATAGCATTTCATGCACATGTCTGTTGACGCTTCTAACACATTCTTCTGTTTGTTAAATGTTACTAGGTATCAAGACCTCAATGCAGAGGTAAGCGAGCTTGCAGGCAAGAATGACATTGAGATAGAGGGTGCTGTGGCTCAGCTCAGCTCTTTCATGGCAGAAGATTCACTAACAATTGCTCATGGACAGCAAAAGCTATGCCTCATCGTCATGTCTATGCCCATATTCGACCTATGTACCATTAGCATGCAAGCTGCGATTCTGGTACGTACAATTCTAGGGTCATGACACTGCAATGACCACAGCAACCTACCATAATGTTCGATGACATTTAGGAAAATTAGAAACTATTGGTTCCCCTTAGCAGTTGTACACACAAGCGATAATGTGTAGTGTAGAGCGGTAGTGTGTAGCACTAATATCAGAGGGTGAATAATGACAAATTATATTGTCATTTGTATTTTGTATATTGTCATTATTTGTATTGTTTTTCATTATCTGTATTTTGTATATTGAATATTTATCATTATTCATCCATGACTAATATGTTGTTATGAACATATGGATTGACCGCTTGGATGCAATAGTGGTGTGTCATATACCATGTGACCTGTCTTGATGTAATTGTGAATGTTTGTCTTCTTGCAGTTTGTGCTTGATAAAATTCTACATGGGCCTGAAGAGCAACTACACCAATGGATGCTCCTGCGCAAATTTCCTGTAGGTGGCATCATCTAATTATTGATGATATTTGTGTCAAGATGTTAGTAACAACATGTTGAGTAACAATCGTCCTGCGACGAACGTGTGTAACAATCGTCCTGCGACGAACGCGTGTGTTACAGTCATCCTGCGACGACCGTGTGTAACAATCGTCCTGCGACGACCGTGTGTAACAATCGTCCTGCGACGACCGTGTGTAACAATCGTCCTGAAAGACGACGTTGTGGTTCACAGTATCTCGCATGAACGAGCTGTGCACAGTTCACTCTGCGCACGACCGTGTGTAACAATCGTCCTGCGCACGTGCGCTGTAACATCGTCCTGGACGACCGTGTGTAACAATCGTCCTGCGCGACGAACGTCTGTGTCACCATCATCCTGCGACAACGTGGTGTCACACTCGCTCCCTGCGAGACGGAACGTGTGTGCTCACGAGTTATCATGCCGAACAACCGCGTGTGTCTCACATCTTCCTGCGACGAACGTGTGTGTCACAGTCATCCTGCGACGAACGTGTGTGTCACAATCGTCCTGCGACGAACGTGTGTGTCACAATCATCCTGCGACGACCGTGTCACAATCACTAACCACCACTAACAATCACTAATCATTCAGCTCTTATTTTCATTCATGTAGCTCACGTTACAAAAATAGTTTCATATTGTTAAAAATGGTTAGAAATAGTTTAGCAATAATTTCTCTGATATATGGCATGATTTCCAAAGACAACACAATAGACAAATAGTAAAAGAGAAATATGTTTGCTATTCACACGATCACATGATGAGTGCATTAGGTCATATGTCATATTGTCTTTGGCAGGTGGTATCTACTATCTAGTCAATTGTTACAAATACAATGATTCTGACTGACAATCTTGGCAGATTCGACCCACTCCCTTTGTATGTTTTTTTTTTTTAGAATTTTGTAGCATGGTACTCGATCCATATTTCAATCACAATATCTTGGAAAGCATTTGAAGTAAAACAAATGTGCACATATCCAACATACAAGCAATGCCATTACATGCAGCTGGCTTGCAGCATAGATGCTTGCAGGTAGCCCTGCCTACGTAAGTTACTGAAGTGCATACTGGAAAGATTCAATAACAAGAAACAATATCATACAAACTGGCTCTAACAAACTGAAAACACCAGTATGGTATTAAGTCAGGAAATATTAATGTTTTGTCTCTTTTCGGCTTCATGTTTCTGCAATGTTTAAATTGATATAGCAACTAAAATATTTTGTACGAATGTATGTTGCGTGAAATTTTGAGAGGTCTGACTGGGAGGGTCTGGGCAAGTTGTCATGACCCATATATTATGTTTTGGATATCAACAGCTATGTATAACATTCTTACATTTTTCTTCGCACATGGATAATACACTTTCAATGCAGCCTACAGACCTCTGCTTCATCATAAAGTAGCTGTTTATATCCTAGATGTCTGGGCACTGCCCTTTCCCCTCTCTGTGCCTGTTTGAATTTGATTGCCCTTCGCATCCACCACACGGCAGTTACATACCCTCCACAGCCAACACCGAGTTACACCCACTGCATAAAGTGCAGAACCTAACAAGCCTGCTTCGATTTGAAGCTCCTTTCATAACAATCTGGTGTCAACACTTCTTAAACTCACTGGAGGCTGCAACCTCCCCAGCCTACTGGCCAGTAGTCCTGGCGCTACCCTGTTGAATACTACACAGGTTTGCCCACCCTGCTGACGCCTGCATCAGAGCAACTAAACTTAGCATCTAGACCTTGAAATCTCCAAGTTCTTTGGTGCGTAATGTTGCTACTTCAACAGCGTCTATTAGAGCAGCACGGAAACCACGTTTCTCTAGCAGGTGCATGGCATAAATAGTGCACCCAGCTGGGGAGCACACGTCATCTTTCAGTGAGTCGGGGTGTTGTCCAGACTCCAGAACAAGCTTTGCGGATCCCTGTCAACAGATATGGATATGAACACACAAAACTAATAACTAAACGAAATTAATAATAATAATAATAATAATAATAATAAGGTAATTTCAGATAATCACCTAACAAATGTAGTAACACCATGATTACCACGAGGACCACGTTACACCATGATATAACAAATACAGACTATTCACGAATTTTGGACAACGCCTGTGGACAACTACATGCAAAGTGGAGAATGGACAATTATAGAAGAAACAGCTTTGCAAAACATCTAATAATTGTTCACATTTTAATGTGAATTAATGCTTTCAATACAAAGTTTATCAACAAGATCAAAGAAGTATTCTTCATATCATCGTGGCATGTACAGGCTTGAACGCACTGCTGCTTATACAGAGCTGACTGCAAAGTCACGTAACTATTAGCTCAATACGTCATTCAACAATCTTTGATTCAGCGTGATAGTTTCACGAGTGACCAGGTCGCGTTCTTGTACCAGTCCAACTTAACAAATACTATTATATTATTATGTATTTCTACGATATCTGACTGTAGTCAATATCGTTATTGTTGAAATACATTCGAAAACAAAGTTTATAGAGAAAACATTTGTATACCATGACAGCATAGGCAGCTAATCGAAGAGCTTGGTCTCTGGGCATTCCCATTTTCACAGCTCCATCTGCTAATGACTGAATGGCTGTAAAGACATATGCGGGTCCGCTGCCACTTAGGCCCGTTGCTATGTCAATGAGTGACTCGGAGATCTCCTCACAATACCCTAAAATTATGGAAATATAAATTAAAGGAAATGTCTTGAAGTGCATCGCACATGGTTCAGATTTTTTTGTTAACTAAACACTTAAGTACTAATAATTTATGAGTAATTTTATATATAATATCAGGAGTTAATAAAGACAAACAACATTTGTCTTTATTTACTCCTCATAATATTAATAGTTTACTCCGATTTAAACATTAACTAGTTAAAACCAATTTTAAATGCAATTTTATAAAGGCACTACAGAAAAATTTCCAGAAAAACTGGTCTGCTGTGACGTCAAGCCGATGGCATGACTGTTTGCAGTCATTTCTCCACAGTACAGCACTAAGCTACGTTACGATGATTCAGGTTATGTAAATTTGCTCATCCACATGGAGGAGTATCGGCAAGCATATGTCCTATATTTTAATTGTTGAAAAGAACTATGGGGAAACTAAGGGTAAGGGACTTTTCCCTCTAGTCAGGATTTGTTCACTGCATACATTACACTGAAATTACAAATTTAGAAACGCAGGTCGGCGTTCAGCTTTGAATATCAGTGCCAAAGATAAGGTGGTCACAAAGAATTTATACACGGGGCCTTGGAAGACGTGGATCACGATATTGTGGCCAAGGTTCCAATTACGGACACTATTGTTGTCTCAGTTTTCCCCACCAAGCATCAAGTCATCTTGCCAATAGCACTGTATACCAGTGCAGTCTAAAAGCCAGGGACTCCAGGTAACTTATAGTACGCCATGCTGACAGTTACTTTCTTCGCACTCTTACCTGGTCGACCATATATATGGCCTGGAGAATATTTACACCTTAATGTTCATGAGGCACCTGACACCAAGCTCACCATTGAACCTCGCATGGACACTACTGCTGCTGACTCAACGAAAATGTTGTGGCCTCAACAAGAAGTTATCAACAGCATAAGAAAAAAGGCCCCCGTTCTCAATATATGACCAGTGAGCCCACACTGTTGAGACAGAATAAGCTCTCTTTGGTTAAGTATGCCCTGCGTTCTCTCCGCACGTTGTGACAGACTTATTACGGATCTGAGGGCCCCCTATTCTTGCTATTAGTCAGGGGTGTTAGGGCTAAAAAAGGGCCGTTTGGTTCACATTATTCCAAAAGCACCAAATTTGGCCTAGATGTTGCCCATACCATACTTTTTCGATTTCTGGCGGGCGCCGGAATAGGCGCCCCCCGGGGCCGCCATATTGGCAAATTCCAATATGGCCACCACCCGGGTTGGGGGTCAATCTAGTTAAACATCCAAAAGAACTATAATCATAAATAATACCACTTTTTAGGGGTTTTCAAGGTCTGGGAACCTGATTCTGATTTTACTTCAGTGATTTGAGGTCAAGGTCACCCCTCAAGGTCACCCAAAGGTCATTTTGGGGTCAAATATGGTACGTCAATTATAGGTAAAAAACCAAAAGTGCTAGAATCAGACATAATACCACTTTTTAGGG